TATATCTCCACGGTGACCGGTTCACGGTCATCAAATATCTGGTCTACCTTGAGTGATAGACCGAAGCAAGTAAGGCAATTTAACGAGAACAACTAATAATATGAACAACTCAACTGATCCATACATGAGCGCACAAAACAGAATCCGAGGACTACAGATGTTGACCAAGTCAAGTAACCACTAAAACACGTACGCATGTACAAGCACGGCCACAGAAGAAATGAAGCGTTCGAAAATTTGGGTAATCCTATATATAGGCATGCAAGTACAGTTGTGCCCGGTTACACCACGATTCGATAATCTCGGTATCGGAATTGTCGTTCAATATGCCCAAACCTAAAAGTTGCATCTAAACATCATCAAAGAATATTGGGTCGAAATAAAATAAAGCTTGTATTTCATGAACGAACGAAGAATACACCGTGTAATATAGAGACTGCCAGCAGTTTCTCGTAACCATGCTGGTTACTCGAACGAACAGATCAGTTACATCTACACGCAAATTTAGTAGGAATAGTAGCAGTTATGACGCCGGTCGAACCGTCTGATGAGTTATCCAATGAAGTGGTGGCAACTTCGGAACAGCTATAATACTCTTTCGGTCTAAGCCAGTTCATTCGACTCATCGTAATCACGAACACCATCAGAATGGAAAAATTACATAATGCGTGATCTCTATAATTCAAATTGTCACCATTTTGCATATTTTCATCCATTGTGGGGAATTCAGGAAAGTAAGTTTCGTCATAGGTGAGGAATCATTGTGTAAAATGTAATTAACTTCGTTTACAAAACTATTTAAGAGAATAAGAGCAAGTGGGAATTGATTGTTTTGAGAGACAGAGAGAGAGGGAGATGACACTTTGCAGTTTGTTCAAAAATACAGAGAAATTTGGTCGAATCGCAGCGCATTCCTGCACCGATACTGAAATCGGATAGCTGTACCACGTCAGAAAAAGAACCAGCAGTGAAAAGAGGAACGATTCAAAAAACCAAAGAACATGAACCGACCTGGTGAAATGCAACACACGCGATCAGAGAACCACGATTTGCCAGAAAATGACCACAGCTGCTCATCCCAAAATATTCCAATCTAATCCCATCGATGTTGCACGACAATCAAAATCACTGAGAGATATGTAAAGATGATGAAATCTTTGATGAGCTGCTACTACATACTTAACCCGATGCTTTATTTGGAATCTCAGTTATCTCATATGCTCCAGTGTACCGTGAAATGTAAGAGGTAGTTGGGACTGCGCAAGTCTTAGCATGGTCAGGGTGAGTAGCTTTGGTTGTGACTGGCTCTAGAAATGCTCCTATACGATCAAACAAACTTCGCCGAGAAAGCCTTCTCGTGGCGGAAGTGTTTTACCACTCAAGTGTGCCAACGAAAAGCCACTATTCGGGGATATAACCGGGTCGGTGAACCACCGGCAGCTGACCTAGGAGAATTCTCTAAAAACCTGATTCCAAACGAAGCACGCTCACCCACACCTGCCCCTTTGTGGCAGTGGTTACCGGCTCGATTGAGCATCCAGGTGTATTGCGCACCTTGGACGTTTGACCCCGTCCAAGGGGTGTATGATCGGATGAACTGGATAACGGGCCCTCCAATGGATTGCGGCTTTCACACACCGCCCCGCAGCCTTGCGGGTGAGCGTTCGGCTAGTTAAAGGCTCCGGTCGTGGATTGCCCAACAATTCAACTGGCTTGACCTGAGCAACCTGGCAGTATTCCGCCCACAAACAAATCACCAAACTCTCTTTTTTAAAAAGATTATTCTACTATGATTCGTCTGGCACATAGTCTGGATTCAGAAGTATGTGAAATACACCAGCGGTATTGGGAAGATACCGCTGCTCGAAAGAACTTCCCAGACAGGCAGAACTGAAAAGTACTCCAGCGGCTATGGATGTGAACCACTGTTTGATTTGGTCCTTCGTTCTTCTGAGAACGGTTTTGGTGATACCAACACACATCATGGGTCTGTCTTACTCTACTATACTACTTGTGTTTGTGATATATTGGTTTATCTAGCACCAATCTTTACAGATACGACGACAAAATACCCATGGGTTTAACGCAAAACATAGAAACAGAAAGGGGGAAAACAAAAAATAGTCAACCTTGGGAAGAATAATTTTTCTATCGTTTGTTTACTGCACGCCCTTTGACCCTTTTTGTTTTATTTCTGGGATCGCAAACAGAAAAGGATGCAGTCACATAATTGACCGATTCGATACCACATCCTGCAGTGTCTGTAATGGAACGGACTTATGTTGAATAATGAGATCTATTAGCATTTACATCATCATGGATACGATAAATTTGGGTGTTCGAACCTAGAAAACGGATGGGAGAAAATTTCCAGGTGGAAAAGGGGAATGACAAAACGAACCAGCAAAGTTCTTATCACTACAGACTCAGACTGAACAAGACAACCTTTTCTTACTAGGAGGTTCTACATGCAGTGTTAGAGCATCCTGAATGGGTCGAAAGCAAGTTGGGTTATAAAAAGTTGTTTTTAGATCGTTCGAAAAAAAAACCTTTTGTCCTGTTTGCTATCAGTATACATTAGACTACACACCGAGTAGGCTATCCAAGTTTGGGAGCCCTGGCTAATTTGCAACCAAAAAGCAATCCAACGTCTGCAGAGAACAACAACCAAAATGGCCGAAGGGTTACAATCTAAAATCTAGGTTGAAAGGCTGCAAATCCTTGGACTATATTCATCTCAATGGTACCACACTGGAGGAGACGTGATCCTCATATATCAAATAATACATCAACCTAACCATCCGTGTAGTAAACTACTGACACTATCCGGGAATGGTCACTCCAAAAGAGTTGGCTAGTCTGCAGGCGTCACTTTTTCAGTCTCAGAATCTGTGGTACTTGGAACTCTCTTCTACTTAAAGTTGCTTGTGCTCCAACCATCGATTCATTCAAACCACGGGGCTTGATGGAGCACTGAAACACCTAGCTGTTACTTGTATTAATACCAACCGAACCTAATGTGTACAGGTCCTATGGAATTCAATCAGCATCAGCTTCGTAAATTACTCGTAATATAAATTCAAATCCTCCAATATTACTACCTAGACATGAGGGCTTGAAATCACTGTGGCAAATGTATTTAACAGAAATTAGCAGCGTGGTAAAACCATTCACCCCTCCCGAAAACTCGTTAATATAAATAAGCAAATTGCTAAACCCGAATAACTCACTATGTTGTACAGTAGTGCCACCAACAGGGACATTCTCCGACCCCGGAACCCCTCGATGTCCGTTTGCATAGATCGGATAGGTCATCGAACTCCACTGGGTCTCACTAACCCGTGAAGCATCCGGATGCGCGTTCACGTTTACCACATTGCCGTGAACTCCGGTGACGGATGCGGATTGGGGCTGATAGGATTGTATCGGCTGCCGCACAAACGGAGTGGACGCGTTCCGCTGATAGACGGTCGTGGTGACTTGGTTGTTGATGTTATTGTTGCTGTGCTGTTGCAGTTCGAAAGGTGTGACAGAATGAATCACGGTTGATGGATCACAAGCAGACATTTCTATGGTGGACGTGTTACCCGCAAGCCAACTGCCGCTTCGCGGTGGTGGAGGAGGTGGCGGATTACGTTTGGTCGCATGAAGTGAGCTGGATTGTACCATTACCCTGCATTGCAATTGGAGAGTGAATTCAATTACAACAAATGCATCTGTGACGACGTTATAAGAGTTATGGATTATAATTAAACAGCATTGGATGACAAGGGCGGTAGACTCAGACCACGATTAGCATAAGCCACGAGCCAGATGTGTTACAGCGTACGACGACGCTTTCTATTTCAAATTGAAGAACCACTAACCTCGCAATGGCATAAAACAACTTGAATTGCTGTCTTTTAGTTATCCATTTGATTGAACAACGATAAAGGGTTAGACGGACGAAGTAGAAGACTATGAGAGGTATCAGAGTAAAGATACAGAAGTATATTTGTAAAGAGAGTAGATAAGTGCACGAGCGCTACCGTTTGATGCATACTGAAAGTGTTCCTAACCATCGATCTGACTAATTCCGAGGTCCCCAATCGGGGTGCCTAACGCGGCCCTTGCCAGGTCTTAGTTTCCACTCATGACCTGCCTTGACAAACATAGAAGACTATCTGGTGACATGCGTAATGCATGCCCCAGCTATCCTAATCTGTAGAGATCAAGCATTTTCTCCAATTTCACCTAACTTCATCATTGATTGTCCGGTTGTCCCGCCAAACTCGAGCAATGCAGCGTACATACTGATGTTTGAGCACCAATAATCTGTCTTTGTCCTGTCGCTGTTACGGCCATATCTTTACAGCACACACACGAGCCTTCACAGAAAACTAAATGTTGTTGGGAGAAGAAGGGTCACAGATATCTGAAGTTGGCAAGCGTCAACCGAGCCGCTCGATGCAATGGGTAGCGTGGTCCTGACCATCCCGCACGACGACCGATGCAGTACGGATTTTTTTGTTTGTGTATACACTAGGGATTGATGGAGGGATGCTGCCAAGGTGTTCAGTCATCAAGCAAGTGAACGATTAGGATTCTCGTTCAAAGCCTTTAGTTCTAACAAGAACCCGACTGCAAGGCAGTGACTAAAGCGAAGTAGAGGTCCGTTTACTTGGGTCGATTACTCCTCTGATATTTTACCGACTGAGATACTAATTCGAGTCAAACCTCCAACCTGGAGGACTAGTATTATTTTATATTTCACACTCGTCTGAGGACAGACTGTGTCGAACAAATACTGGCACAAAAATCTTTATAAAAAAGAAAAAAAACGTTCCATGATTAGCTTGTGAACGGAATACTGCCAGGTTGCCCAAGCCAAGGCAGATGAATTTTCTTTAGGAATCCACAACCGGAGCCTTCGGCTAACCAAAGCCTGACCCACAAGGTGCGAAAGCCGCAATCCATTGGGAGCCGGTGTCCATTTCATCGGATCATGCGCATTTCGGACGGGGTCAAACGTCCAAGGTGCCCAATCGAGCCCGTGACCACAACCGCCACAACCGGGAAGGTGTGATTGTGGTTCGTACAACTCCTCATAGTTGGTTTGGAATCAGGGTTTTTGGCCAACTTCCCTAGGTGAACTACCAGCGGTCCACCAACCCGGATATAGTCCCGGAAGTCGGCTTTTCGTCCTCTCACATTGGTGGGAAAACACCTCCGCCACGAGAAGGCAGTTAGTAGGGCTTCTTCAGCAGAGGCTATTTGAGGCGCCTGGTCGTATGGGAGCATTTCGCGAGGTGCAAGGGCAGGGTGACCAGCCACAACCCTAGACACCTACCGCCGACCATACTGAGGTTTTTGGAGGACTGTGAGACTGATCTTTGTCTGATCTCTACCCTCTGACCTTCCAAGCATTATAGGATATGCTGGCTTGATAAAGCTAACCTGCGTAGCTCGTTGGGTCATAGAGATGCACAAGCCATCACATCACGTCAGGATGCAGTCTCGTCATGATGGTGTAAGGATGCCAACAATTCATCCGTGATTCATCCACGAGGTGTGAAATAGCTCCCCAAAATCGCATCCCCTGTCAGATAGAACAACTATAACTACTCAACAACTATAACACTCAAACGATCAATAAATGCTAGCAACTCGAATCCTCACTCAGTATTGTAATATCATTTGCGTATTCCAGAACAGAACCTACCGCTTAGGAGTAAACCACTGTCTTCGAGCTGCACAAAATCATTTACCAAATCGTATCTACTCAAAAGTGAAAGAGAAAAGGAGAGAAATGGCAGCCCCGTAGGGCACTAGATCGTTAAGAAATTTGAACGCTGCATCAGGGCATCTGAAAAAAAGAGTAGCGTCAAAGTACAGCGCACGATTGCGACTGAGTGTAAGGTTCGCTGAAGACGAAAATGGTGAGTCTGCACAGCGTTGATAGATCAGTTCACCGCGAAAGTGATACGATGTTGCGGTTCAGAAACATCAATTACAATAATAAAGTTTACCCGGTCATTACTGCTTCACGTAAAACAAAAGCATCTGAGAGGTGGACTTCTACCGGATATAAACCTGGTGAACAGAAAAAAAAAACCAAACTGGTGGATGCCAACTATCAATTTTTTCTGCACATATTAATGGGATGATCAATAAGGGGAGCAAAACAGATGCTCACACGGATGAAAACCAGCGACATAAGCTCTGAGACTTGGAAGGACGAGACACATAAGTTCCCAGTCGGGGCAGATGTGGGATATTAAGCCAAGCGGCTGAAAAGTTTCTTGCCAAAAAAGATGGGGGCTGGTGGCATTGCTTAAGCCTCAAGCTTCGTAATCTGGAGCCAGCCACTCAAATCTCATAACTGGGACTTAGAACAAAAGAAAGAATATTGGAGCACCCGGTATGCACGGGGTCTATGGGAGGATATCACTCCTAGTAGAGATCCGAAATCCTTTGGTCTACACTCAGAAGCCAGATCTCACTGCCTGAGTTCCAAGCAGCTACCGAAATGTGCCAACGTCCCCCTTCGAATGTCTGGTGAATTAACTGAATCAATTGAGTCAAGATGATGTCAACGTGTGCTATGATTACGAACGAAATCCCTTTTCAATCCTGAGTTCATTTCAGTTCAGCTTTTACAACCATTAAGCATGCATATTCGTGCACCAATTTTGGTTGCTGTCTTTTGGTGCCCCATTTGGATCAAACAACAGAATGAAGATCTGAATGTTGAAAGCAAATTCAAGCGGAATCTGGAAAATTTATGTGGAATGGTGTTAGGGGAATAATGAGTGGATGCACGAGCGCCACTGTTTGCGACACCAAGCCATATCACTCAGTATCTCTAACCATCGGTGATCATCATCCCAAGGTCCCCAGCCAGGGAGCCCAACGGGGCCTATGTGACCTAGTCTCCTGGTTAGGGTTTTGATACCCTCATGCCAAGTCTTCGTTTGACCATCCTTCACCGTTTTCTAACCGCTACCTGCCTCGGTAAACATCGCTCGCCGTGGCAACCTACTCGGTAACATACGTAACACATGCCCCAGCCAACGTAATCTATGGAGGTCGACCAATTGCTCCAGTGGACGACCGCGACTGCTTAAAACTCTACGTCTAACCTCAGCATTGCTCGTCCGGTTACCCCACCAGACTCGCACAATGCGACGTAGACAGCAGTGTTCGAACAACGACAATCTATTTCTATCCTGTTTCTGTAGTAGTCCTGCACCGTAGAGCAGGACTGGCCGAGCATATACTCGACCCTTCACAGACAACCGGATGTCGCGACGGTGCCACAAATGTCTCAACTTGGCAAATGCCAACCGAGCCTTTTTATGCGCTCCGACAACCTGAGATTCTATTTGATTAATCTGAATACCCGTAACAGTTCTATGACGACCACTTAATTCATGAAAGTGGTGAAGAAAACTAGATATTTAGGTGACATTCAATGTATTGCAAAAAAGAAATAATCAGAACGCTATTCCTGATCGTAATAATGAGTGCAAACGATTTTAGGAGTGCATCGAAAAATCGATGCGCCATCTGTTGTAACGAAGACAATTCTCTGCCGACATCGCTATGTTATTAACATTATAACATTTACAATAATAATTAGTGGTTTAGGTTGCTGACACTGCCGTGATCCCGACTCCAGAGTCTGATATTCAAACCCTTACTTAACTATCACTGTCAACGGGCTCAATGCCACAACTGTTTTATTTAGAGTCTTACATGCGTCACTACTCCAATTTCCTCCAGAGCCTAGACAGGCAATTCTTGCGACTAAACACTAAGTCTCCACAACTAAGGGGGTTTACTTCTTCTATGGTTCATCAAACGAAGAACCGCGGCAAAGATACAAACGATATAACCAAGCAAAATAAACAACATCCATTTATCTATGGCCCTTCATTATCGTCATCATCATCATAATAATAATAATAAGAGCAAAAAGGCACATTACTTACCGCATTCCGGATCGATTAGAAGTGGCAGGATTCGAAGAAGTAGTGGTGGGAGTTAGATTAGCCGTCACAGATCGTGAGGCATCCACCGATCCAACGGAAACGCGTTCAGTTCCCGGCACGGAATAGTGGACCGTCTATTATGTACAATTAAAGCAACAACAACAACAACGACAGAGATAGATGCTGCTGCTTGTTCGTTCATACAACGAATAACAACAGTGTGAGAAGGGAAAATAATTCACACGAAAAACTCAGCAGAGGTCATTGTAAAATCCAGACCTCTTGAGTTTGGTTACATATAAATGACGCATGATTAGTAGTACCACCAGACCGGGGTTAGCACATGCATCGGACGAAACTAAAAATGAATCCAGGGCAAAAACAAGCACCGAAAAACATCCGTCCAAAAGGGATCGTCGGGACAGCAAACACAAAGGTCAACAAGACCCCGTGTGTGTCCGTGTGTGCTTGACGGACACAATGCAGGACCCTAAACGGGGGGGGGTGGTGCCTGGGGTGGGCGGATTGGACAGGTACAGACGTGGGGAAACTGACAGGTTTAGTCGGAGCAAAATGGCCAATCAAAACCCGGTCGATTTTAGCCCCGATACGAATGCGTGGGTGAATGTGAATATATATATTTGCGAACAGAATGGGGGTGAAGGATTGCCCACGTGTGGGTGATTGCTGTCTGGGTCTCAATCATCCGATGTGGGACTAAGGGATGCGGGCTGTCACTGGTCCTGGGCGTCATTCTTCTCGCTCCAACTGGGGCGTGTATCGCTCGCCTAACATAGAGATCCCTTGGACCGAATGAAATCGCTTCAGGAAAATCTGAACCTGGCAGGCTAAGAAAGAAAAGCCTCGAATCGTGGTGCTTCAAGTGATTCAGCACAAGCTTTCACTACGATCCCTGGTTTTTTCGTTACTAAATGCACTGATCATACGTATTTTGCTTTACTCCACTATCTGCATATGCGTCATTTGGTGGGCTGCTGAAGACCAACAAAATGGCATTTCATATTCCTCTTTCCATTTCCGAGAGGAAGATCACAGTGGACGAATCTGACACATTCGAACTGAGTAATTGCGTCAACGTTGATCAGGAAAGACTGTGACATAGGCAGTCAACCAAACATTCACCTGCGCAACACCTTGTTTGTGTACAACGAGGATGATGTTTTCGAAACATGGAAAAGAATTAAAACCGATATGCTGAGGGTAAGACAGCTTTCCTATTTACGTGATCGGTGCATTTATCAATAATTTCATCTGTTCTCGAATATTTGTAGACATTCTATTCGCAATTGAAAAAGAACTGTGTATTACTCGACTGAAGAACCAATCGACCGATTCTGCTGCGATGGTATATACATGCAAATAAACGAGAACCAGATCGAATCGACCATTTCAGTACTGCTGGTATACGTTTGATGAAGTTTAAATAAAACCTAGCACACTGTAAAAAAAATACAACTCTATCATGAGCATGGTCAAACGAATTCAAGGGAATTAGGGCAGAAGCGGTGGAATCCATAAATAAATCCTCGTTCCGAAATGGAGATCTAGAGCCGTTTATCTGCATAGAAACTAATTGCAGATTTGTTCAACTGAAGACATCACGCATGAGAATAAGCACATTAGTGTAGTTTATTTATACGCTTTATAATTACCAATGAATTCATGTAACCATGTTGTTTGATTCAAGTGACCAAAAAAGTGATTCACAACTTCAGACACTATTAAACAATCAAACACCATGAACGATACATTACCATCATCATCTTACAGAAAAATATACTGAAGCGAACTTCACTGATCGCTGCCAAACTCGCAATGCATACAACGTTAGTGGTAAAATTTAGGGTGGTCAGGGGATTGAATCTATTTTGAGGGAGGGAGAAGAAGGTGAACTACTATGGTCAACACGCGGAGTGTACAATCGATCTCTGCATACATACAATTTCAAGCCCTCCGGTCCGCTAAGAAATGACAACAAGAACGCCATTGCTGCCGGTTCGCTGCAATGTCCTTCAATGTCTTCAGTCAACCAGTTGTGGAGTCTTTTGGACCCCTACCTAATGGCTTTGTGCATTTCTTCATGCCTCGTCTCCACATCATCTGTTGACCTCCACGTGGTTTCCTCCAGCCCGGATTAGCTACAGCGAATAAAGCGCGGTGCGGCAGACGATGGCTGGGCATACGCAATATGTTCCCTAGCCAGCGAAGTCTACTAATTTGAATTCGGTATGCTAGCAGGTTTATACCTAATAGACTCCCAAACACACGACGGCTTACCTCCAGATTACTAACCCGTTCGCTCCATCCCACGTGGGCTAAACTACGTAAACACCGATAGAGGATGGATATCTACTCGCAAATTCAAGATCTCACAACCATAAAGCAAGACTGAACGAACGCTAGCACGGTTTACGCGACCTTTCATCTTCGGTGAAACGTCGCGTCCATGGCGGTGTTTCAATCTTGTGTATGCTACTCGAGCCTTCGAAATGCGAGTGGCTATCCACTTTGCTGCGCTTCCGTCATTGGTCACCTAACTACCTAAGTACAAAAATCAATCCACTATAATTAATTCCTGGCCGTTTAGTTTCAAAGCGGGAGTAGACGTAACCCAGTCCTGCAGCATCGCTTTGCACTTTGAACGTGCAAAGCATATACCGAATGGGGCAACAACACTTGTTAGTCTATCAAGTGCGCTTTGTGTGTCTTCCATACATTCGAACAGATAGACGATGTAATAGGCGTACTCTAAATCGCACAGCTTTTCTCCAGCTGTTCATGAAATACCTACGTTTTGGAGTTCCCTCAGTGCGCTCTCCAGTATTTCGTCTACGACGAAGTTAAACACGAACGGCGAAAGAGGGCACCCTTGACGAACGCCGCGGCTGGTGACGAACGGTCTACTTAGTTCGTTGTAAACCCTTACACGACCAGAGGTATGTGAGTACAGTGACCTCAATAAGCTAACGTACTTCTGGGGCATTCCTTTTTGAAGAAGGGAACCCATCAGAGCTTCGCAGTAAACTGAGTCGAAGGCTCCTTTCAGGTCAAGGAACACTGCGATCGTTGGCCGAGGGTGGGTGTGACGCAGCTCAAGGATCTGACGCAACGTAAAAAACTGATCAATACATCCACGACCGGGCCGGAATCCGGCTTGCTGTTCAAGGATGTTGGTCTCTCTTAAAGGCGTCAGACGTCGAAGTATAACTGAAGCTAGCACTTTGGTGACGATCGGGATCAAACTTAACCCGCGGTGGTTTGCGCAATCGTTCCGAGATCCTTTCTTGAAAATGGAAACGATCAGTGATTCGCTCCAAGATGAAGGAATGTGCTCTTGCGTCCAAGTGTTGCGCAGTAGGGTAGTAATAGAGGCTACGAGGTTATCACCTCCAATCTTGAAAAGAGTGGGAGGGAGGTCATCTGGTCCTGCTGCCTTTCCTCGCTTCAGAGCTTGAATGCAAGACCGAACTTCTGCTTCCATTGGAAAATCGCACGACACTGCCCACGGAGCTTCAGTTACAGGTGAAGCAGCCTAGTTAGCACTAGACCAGCTGAACTATTCCACCCAGCGATCAACTCGTTGATCCCTATTGCGAATAACTCGTCCACTCTTATCGCAGACTGTTTCACTAACTGAAGTTCGCCAACCTCCCGTATTGCGCATCAGTCGGAAAAGTCTTTGACTATTCCCTGATGCAGCCGCTACTTCCATTTCACTAGCTATTGTTGCCCACCAGTTCTCACGGTCCTTCTTGAGGCTGTTTGTCAGCCGACGTTGCAGACGCCACCTAACCCTGTTTTGATCCTGGCAGGTCGGAATATGTTGCTTTTAATCCACCAGTTCTACTGACTCAGCAGATATCCAATGCCTTCGGCGGGTTTAGGGCTCAGATCCACAGGCAACTTTCGCTGTGGAATGTATTGCTCGCCTAATCTGATCCTAGTGCTCACTTACATCACCACATTCAAACGCGCCTAGCCCACGCACTAGCTTTGACTCAGCGTGCAGGAACGGCTGGAACAGATAGCAAATTCGTATAGCTCATCATCGTGTGATGAGCTATACGAATTTGCTGGTTATGTCGTCGACCAGTCAGTCGGAGAGTGAATTGCATCAAAACTAATGCGTGGTCAAACTCAACGGAGGTGGTCCAATAGGACTTGCAATTTTGCACTGAGTCACGCCAACAGTAGCTTACTGCTATGTGGTCGATTTGAGTTGGCGTACCAGTTGAACTGGAGTGCCATGTTGCCGTCCGTCGAGAGCTGTGTCGGAAGTTGGTACTGGATAGGAACAGATGATGGTCTGCGCAGAGCTGAAGAAGTCGATCGCCGTTATCTGTTCGTTAGCAGGTTAGAGTACAACCACCACCTAGGCAAATTTTGATGCGCTCAGTTTTCCAGCCTGCGCGTTAAATTCACCTGCAAGTACAACTATGTCGAAGGTTCGACTCATCCGAATGAATTCATCTTAGTTTGGAGTATAGGAAGGAATGCATTGAACATTCTACAAGCATCAAACACGCTCGATAACTATATGATTGGACTGACTGAACATCTGGTTTTTAAGAAGCTGCGCTCTTGGTACATCGTTTTGCGAGTTGAGTTTCGATTGGCTGAGGACACTGGGCTTAAATCCCATTTTCACTTTTGATCCTGGTTCACCTCCGTGAACCATTAAAAATTTAAATTCAGTGCTCAGGAGCGCTCAAGCCTTCAGGCGAAGCACAAGTCACCCGAGAATCAGTGCTTTTGAAGCTTCATGGGTCTGTCGACGCTGGGAAATCTCAGCCAACAATTTCTTCGTCACGACGGTTTTCGACCGGGGGGAGGGTGGGGAGATACCGAGAAATTGACGTCTAACTGCGGTAGCTAAATTGTCTTTTGTATTGGTAAGAGATTTGCTTAGTAATTGTGGTAGTCCCAATTGAATAAGACTGATTCTAGTTGTTACGAACATCTTTGCATAATTGATTCTTCACTGTTTGCCTTTAAACGTTAGAATGAGGTTCGAGAGCCTAAGACTAGTTCATTTCAGGTCGTGGCTGCGGAGATAAGAGTTTCATCCATTGGAGGCTGTGTGAACATCGTCGCGTCCCCGCAAAACGATTGT